TATTGATGTTATTTTAGTTTAGGATTAATTTATGTATTTCAGTATTTGCCGGTGTCAAGGACGCTTTTTTTTATTTGTTTCTGAAATAAATCTCGAAACATTGACGTGTGTCTTTGAGGACGAAGATTAGCGTTTTCGAAGACTTAAGGTAATCCAAGAGGAAGGTTATCTATGCCAGATGAACTGAATTTCTGTATATGATCTCCAAATTAAATTTATAGATTCTACACCGTTTAAGGTAGTAAATAAACAAAGTATCATAAAAAAAATGAAAAATATGTATATATGCAGAATTTTCCAGAACCTGGCAATCCCAAACGTCAAAGCTTCCCATTGTAGTGTCAAATATCCCATCTTTCTTTATCCATGCTTCTTCATTGTGGAATAATAATGATTTACGGGAGTGGTTAATGATGTTGATTTCGCTTATAAAATAAAATAAAAACAAATAAATAAACAAGTTAACTAATCCAAACAAATTACCAAATCACACCTGTTAGAATAGACGAAATAAAATAATAATAATAATAACAAAAAAAAAAAAACAACGAACCCAAATAAATAAAGTAAATAAAAAACAAAGTAGCAAACCATTATGACCAAAATATTAGTTAGACTAAAAAATCAAACCAAAATATCGGACAAAAACAATAGCTATAACTGTTATATAACGATAAAAAAAATAAATAAAATAAAATAAAAATAAAAAATAAATAAATAAATACTACGTTACTTAAAAATCGAAAACCAAAAAGAGAAAATATACAAGTAAAATAAATTGACCTAAATTCATCCAAGTAAATAAATAAACAAACCAACCCCGATAAAGTTACCGTTAGGAAAAACAAATAAAGATAATCCAAATAAACCCAAATTAAAAACTGTTTCTGCCAAAATAATAGTTAGAATAAACTATAACAACCAACCCCAAAACCGAACAAATAGCTTTAATTAAATTCTCAAACCAAAACAAAACTATTAAATAAGTGATATAAACAAATTTTTACTACGTTAAAAAAAACACCGATTAAAAAATAAGTAAATAAATAAATAAAATAAGAAACAAAAAATAAAATTAAATAAAAACAAGCAAAATAATTTAACCCAAATAAATAAATAAATTACTTCCGGTAAAATAAACGCCATAATAGACTACCCACAATGCACCACTGACCCGCATATGTATAAATAGCCGAGAAAAATAACAGCACACGTGGCCTGACGATTGCATATGTCGCCTCTAAGTGTTGACTTCTATGTTCAATTTTATATTTACACACGCTCTATCTCTGATATTGAGCACTTTATCCCATAAATATAGCACATCTTAGGACTATATATATATATATATATATATACTGGGTGTAACAGCAAAATTTTCTAAATCGTGTAATTGCATGGGATAATTGTCCATCACACAAAAAGTTTAATATCTAAAAACAACACTAAACTGAGTTTCTTTTTTACGGGTTTTCGGATAAAGCCTTAAACCCTCTTGACACCATTTCTCGTAAGAATCACTGAAAAATCCTTTGATTTATTTAGCTAGAAAGAGAACAGGTTTAAATCGTTTTATGTCATCCCCACTATGTCTTCCCAATTGAGCAATGGTGAGAAGCAAAAGATCATTCAGGCCTTCAGTAATGGTACCAACATTCATATTCTGGCTTCTTTCTTCAAAGTCGATTCAAGAACCATCAAAAGAACGGTGAATAAGTTTTTAAAAAAGGTAGCAACAGAGTGGAAAACTGGATCAGGAGGTCACAACAGCAAGACGGATCATAATTCCAACTTAGAGCTAAATACATTCTCATTTTTCAAAGTCCAATAGTGTCCAATAGTGTTATAAACATTCGGAGAATTCCAGTGAGATATCTTTAATCATTTCTGAGATACAAGGATTCAAAACTTAATCTAACAATTGAACAATTTTACTTTACTTTTACACGATTTGGACAATTTTGCTGTTACACCCGGTACACACACACACACACACACACACACACACACACACACACACACACACACACACACACACACACACATATATATATATATATATATATATATATAGTTACTTAATTAGTCTTCTCTTTCCTTATGGAACATTGTGTCCCGTTTAACGCCGCATCTGGAGATGTGCTAATAGTATGAATTTACGTGGAAATTTTGATTCACAAGCGGTACCCATCTGCTTGGCAGACGGAAGCGCCAATACGAACATTTCAGAGTGTTTGGGCTTAATTCTGAGGATAGTGCAGTAGATTCGGAAAGAGTTGGATGAAGCTAATTCTGATTACGAAGGTTTTTGGGAGCTATTGCTAGTTATGGTGACATTATGCCTCAATTCATCTTCCCACAGGGTCACAGACTCCACGCGAAGTCCTACACCAAGTGCCTTGAGGAACTAGTGCTGCCCAGGGTCAAGAGGGTGGCTGCTGAAAGAACGTATGCACCATATCACACCAGCAGGAAAACCTAGTCATGGCTGTCAGACAATTTCTGCGACCACATCAAACCTTATATCTGGTTACCTAACTCACCAGACTGCAACCCATTTGATTATTATGTGTGGAGCACAGTTGAGTGAGAAACCATCAAAACTCCTTGTAACACCAAAGAGGAACTGAAGACAAGAATTATGGCAGCATTCTCCAACGTAAAGCAGGAGGCCGTCCACAAGAGTTGGAGGAGATTCCAAAGTCGTCTTGAGGCCGTGTTTGTAGCCTATAGCGAATTTATTGAATAAATTTATTCGTTAGCATTTCAAGATATTTTTGTGTAATTTTGGTAAATACATCTATTAAAATAAAATCATTGTTATTTTCCCCTTTGCGTAATTTAGACGACAATTTATCCATCGGAACTTATATATATATATATATATATATATATAGGTAAAATGAGAACATCGCCCGAGGAGACACATTTGTAGTGATGAAACAAAATTGCCATTATGTAGCGATTTTTAACATGTTTTAATATCGTAAAATAAATAATACACACACACACACACACACACACACACATACACACACACACACACACACACACACACACACACACACACACACACACATATATATATATATATATATATATATATATATATATATATATATTGTATATTTGGGCAGCAATCCATCTTTTATACAAGTTGCGCTTTTCATTTTATCCATCGCACCTTATATATATAAGGTGGCATGGATAAAATGAAAAAATATATATATATATATATATATATATATATATATATATATATATATATATATATATATATATATATATACAGGTAAAATGAGAACATCGCCTGAGGAGAAAAATTTGTAGTGTTAAAGCATAATTGCCATTATGTAGCGACATTTAACTTGTTTATCTATCGTAAAATAAATAATAATCACACACTTGATATATATATATATATATATATATATATATATATATATATATTAATTGTGTATTTTGGCAGCAATCCATCTTTTATACAACTTTCGTTTTTCATTTTATTCATGCCACATTATACATACATATATATATATATGTATATATATATATATATATATATATATATATATATATATATATATACACACACACACACACATATATATATATATATATATATATATATATATATTATGTAATTGCGTATTTGGGCAGCGATTCATCTTTTATATAAGTATCGTTTTTTTTCTAAACGTTTTAGTGTTACTTTCCTTGTTGCATGACTGGTCATCTAATTTAATAATTATGTATTTGGGAAGCAACCTTTCTTTTAAACATGTTTTGTTGAATGTTTTCGTATGACAGACAAGGAAAATTTTGTTCTTTTCTTTTTTATTTAGTTTTTTTCTTACGTTTCGCCGTTTGGCGAGAATAAAGGAGTGAAGAAAACTGTCCGTATTGTTCACTGTCCCAAGCGCTTTCAACCACTTCTTTCGCCATTTTCAACAGGGGTTGGTTTTGGGTGCTGTTCATTTCTCTTCATGTTTTTGACTGTATAAAATGTGTATTTGTGTTGTTTTGAATAAAAGTGGGGGCGTTTATGTCGGAGCCTTCGTGTTTTGAGTACGGCTGGAATTCAAGTGAGCGTCTATCTGTTCATATGAGTGTGTATATGTGTACAGTGTAACCCGGATATAAGAGAGATTTTCTCTGGTCCCAAATTAGAGCCTGTGTTAATGTATATATAATAGACCAAACTCGGATATAAGAGAAACCCGGATATAAGAGACTTCTTCTCCGGTCCCGACAACTCCCTTATATCCGGGTTACACTGTATAAACATAAACACGTACGCACCAATACATTGCTGTAAAAAAAAAAACAAACGTTATAATGTAAAATGACTTTCTGAAAACATAAATTTGGATGTTTTTTTCGATGAAAATTTATGAATATACTCTTCCTAAAACAACTGGCTCTTCCATGCGGCTCTGATAAATATTTCCCTTTTCGACCGACTGTCAGAAGCAGAAAAAGGTAAAGGACAATGGGAAAACGGCAGAATTCATTTGAAGGAATCATCTTTCTTCATTTCAGTTAATCTAAAAATAAAAATGGAGGGCGTAAGTAACGCGACCAGCCAGCCATTAACTAGCCTATTCACAGATCCTGATGATCTTAAACGTTAACAAAAACTAACGCTACTGTATATCAAGTTTCGAATTATAAATCCGTTGTTTTATAGCGTATCGACTGCTCTATAACAGTCTATTTCTGGTATGAACCAAATGGAAATTTCTGGCCTCGCAAAAAAAAAAAAATGCAGAATTTGAAATCAGAGAAAACTATGCAGATGACAACATCAAGAAGATTTTTGGTTTCATTCAGACTAACATCTGCATTTTTGTTGTTAACACGTTTCGGTCATTATGCCATCCGATCTTCTTCAGGGTTCTCTCGATCCGATAATAAAGAATCAAAGAGATGTGACGTCTTAATGAGGCAAGTTTGACAGCAATGTCATTAGCAGCAGTAGCAGCAACAGTTTGAAAAACATGCAGAAGGCAAAGGTGGTCAAACCTGACAAGGAAGCCAACAGCATTCGCTGCAGCAGGCAGACAATAGGTATTAAGTATAAGACTCCCAGCAGTAGTATTAGCAGCTGCAAGGGCTGCTGAAATATCGTCAACTCAAAGAACATCTGTTTTTGAACCCCTGCTTAAGAACGCCTACAATTTTTCAGCACCTGCATTAAACAAAATATTACTATTGTTGCATGGGCACGTGGCCGAGTTGTTAGAACTTTCACTTTCGAATTTCACTATTGTCGATTTGTCAGGAAGGTGAATTCTTCTTGCTATCGGTCTGGAGAATGCGATCCCAGCGTGTGGCACCTTTGGAAAATGGCTGAAAACCATACTCAAAACTTGTGAGTGAAATTGATTACGCTAGCACGAAGTCACAAGTCATTGTGACCGAAGGTTTGAGTGTGCTGGCCTTGTTCAGATTGTTGATCCCACTAGATAACACGCTCGCTCCCAGAGACTGTAACTAAGGTCAGCTCAGCATAGTTGCAGTATAAACCACAGATGGACTCTGCAGGTGTTGAACAAACACAAATGTGCCCGGGTGAGCGTCTGCGATAGGGATTAGCTAGTCACCTTAGTAGACGGAGAACCTCGAATACGAGTGGCCAGATAGTAACTATTTTTGCTAATTTTAGACACGCTTATCTTTCATCGCATTCAGCGTTACTTGTTTTTATTAATATGACGTCGGTCATTAGGCTGGCCTCACAAACATAGGAGAGAGTTCAAATCTCGGAGAGAGAGAGAGAGAGAGCAAAGTCTTTATTTCCCATCCACTCTGCTTACTTAACAGAGTGCAAATGTAAATATTGGCTGGGTGGTATAAAAGTTATCGGCGCAGAAAATGGAATCGGCAGGACACGTTCGAAGTTTAGCCAAAATTCTTTCCTTCATTCATTCTCATAGAGGTGGAATTTAGCTAAAGGAATAAAATTGTAGAGTAGACTAGATTCCCTAGACTTGAAAGCGAAATTCGCCTCGTAAAATGTCAGCTTGTATTCAGAACTCTGGAAAAGCTATTCCACGACCTTTCCCAAACATCTGCCTAATCTCAGTCTCCAATCATTCTTTCTTTTTTCTTTCTTTCTTTCTTTCTTTCTTTCTTTCTTTCTTTCTATCTATCTATCTATCTATCTATCTATCTATCTATCGGTCTGTCTGTCTGTCACTGACTATTCATATCTCTATGCGATTCTGTTCATAGCTATCTGGCTATCTTTCTTCTTTCTTTCTGTTTTATTTATCTATTTCAGTCTGTTCATTATTGTTGGGTCGCACCCACCTTCTAACTAGTAATGGACTGGTCCCTCATATAAGTCAGCTCTGGAGAGCGAGGGACAGAGAGCGACAGAGCTTCTGCGAGAGCGTCAGTGACAGCAGTCCCGATAAGCTTACCAGTTAGATACCGTTGGACTATAGACTTTGGATATTGTTTCGTACTAACCAACCTTCGTTCTACTAATCACTCTATTGTTAATTGCTTTTACAAATATACAAGTATTTTCCTCTACAACTGTGTTTGTCTTGATTCTTACACCAACACGCGGGAAACTCACAACATCTCAACAATTATCTATCTACCCCAGTCTGTTCATATCTATCTATCTATATATCTATCTCAGTCTATTCTATTTATGTAATTCAGTCTGTTCATATCTATCTATCTATCTATCTATCTATCTATCTATCTATCTATCTATCTCAGTCTGTTCATATCTATCTATCTATCTATCTATCAATCAATCTCAGTCTGTTCATATCTATCTCAGTCTGTTCATATCTATCTATCTCATCTGTCTATCTATCTATCTATCTATCATCTATCTCAGTCTGTTCATATCTATCTCAGTCTGTTTATATCTATCTATCTATCTATCTATCTATCTCAGTCTGTTCATATATCAGTCTGTTCATATCTATCTATCTATCAATCAATCAATCTCAGTCTGTTCATATCTATCTCAGTCTGTTCATATCTATCTCAGTCTCTATCTATCTATCTATCTATCTATCTATCTCATCTGTTCTATCTCTGTTCTCAGTCTCTTCATCTATCAATCAATCTCAGTCTGTTCATATCTATCTCAGTCTCTATCTATCTATCTATCTATCTATCTATCTATCTATCTATCTCTGTCTGTTCATATATCAGTCTGTTTATATCTATATATCTATCTATCTATCTATCTCTATCTCTTTTGTTCATATATATCTTTATCTCTGTTTTATTTATCTTATTCAGTCTGTTCATATTTATCTGTATGTTCATTATCTATCTCAGTCTGTTCATATATATATATATATATATATATATATATATATATATCAGTTTATGCGCATCTATCTATCTTTCTATCGGTAATATGTTTGGGTATGAGATCTCAGCGAGCACTATGGAAAATGCTGGAAAACCATACCCTGTGTTGATCTAAGCATTGTGAGTGAAATTGTGTAGACTGAACAGTTCGGAAGCCCTCGAATGTTGTGTTAGCACGCAGGCACAAGTCATCGTAATCGTGGTTTCAGGGTACTGGCGTTGTTATCACTGCTGATATGGAAGATTATGCGCTCTAGCCAAGAAAACTGTAGCTAAAGTCTATTCAGCATAGTTGCAATATAAACCTCAGGAGGGTTCAAATTGCGTCCGAGCTAGCGTCAGCAACTGGGATTGGCTAACTACCCTAGCTGATGCTTGTACATGGAAAATGAGACTAGTCTGTAATTTTCTTTCTTTCTTTCCTTCTATCTATCTATCTCAGTTTGTTAATATCTATCTATCTATCTATCTATCTATCTATCTCAGTCTGTTCATATCTATCTATCTATCTATCTCAGTCCATTCATATCTATCTATCTATTTATCTATCTCAGTCTGTTAATATCTATCCCAGTCTGTTCATATCTATCTATCTATCTCAGTCTGTTTATATTTATCTATTTCAGTATATTCGCATCTATCTATCTATCTATCTATCTATCTATCTCAGTCTATTCGCATATATCTATATAAGCCTGTTTCATTTATCTAATTCAGTCTATTCATACCTATCTGTATGTTCATTATCTATCTATCTATCTATCTATCTATCTATCTCTCTGTCTATATATATAAGCAGCACGGTAACCTATCTTTGCCATTCTGTTCATATATATAACGATCAGTCTATAAATCTGTCAGTTCTCATCCATTCACCTGGCTATCATCCATATATATATATATATATATATATATATATATATATATATATATATATATATATATATATATGCGAGTGTGTGTGTGTGTGTGTGTCAAATACAGAAGATATTTCCCCACTACCAACCCTGTCTTCATAGCCGTGTTGTGTGACCAAGCAAGCGATGATCGCGCGACATTTCCCTTTTGTCATCCAGGTGAAAAAGATTTTAAACGATGTTGACAGGGAAGAGTCACTTAAGCAGCAATTAAGAGGCAAAAAGACGACTGCGCTTGGCACGAAGGGGTCAAAACAATAAAAAGAACAACACCACAAAGTGGTAAGTTACAGACACATACATGCAGCGATATGTCTTAACACACAGACACACACACGCGCGCACCCTTATATATATATATATATATATATATATATATATAGGTGTATGACAAAATGGAAAAAAAGTTTTTGTGTGTCGCCTTTCATCCTTTAGGACTTCATCGAAGTAAATTTGTTAAGTTGGTGCCCAATGAATCAAAGAATATATTACCCTACCAACTAATTTTATCACAACTACAATTGCAACAAAAAAAATCTAAACTCATCAACAAACTTGTTACATCAAATTTGTTACTACTGCATTCAAAATAATAAAAGACTTACTCAATAGTAAACAAAATAATAAGCTAAAACCTGAAGGAGGAATTTACTCGGTCGCCTGTAATAATTGTCACAAAAAATACATATGTAAATCTCAAGGAATCTAAATAAAAAGATGAAATGAACACAAAAGGGATATCTTACAAAATAATACATCAAATGCATTAGTTGCTCAAAGTAACGAAACTGGCCACAATTTTGACATAGAAAATGCTACTGTGATCAAAGGAGAAAACAATTCACTAAAACGAAAATCTTCACATCATTCCCGACCATATGCGTCCACGAAAATAACCCACTATGAAATTCTTGGTCGATATGGTTACTGGACGTAGGAGACTTTTTTAACATCCAACATCCAAAGTAAATTATAATGTTTGGGTTTGGTCATTCGACTAGATTTTGGAAAGTGGGTTGAGCCGAAAACCTTTCAGATTCCTGCAGATATATGCAAATTATCCGGTCTGATTACGTCTGAATTGATATCGTACGGGCCTACTAACTTTTTCCTACGTGTCACATCAGTGCCATATTTGTATCAGTGACATTATCACATGTGTTGACACGTCAAACAATATTTGTCTCATTTGTGTGCCACTGTGAAAAATATTTTATCCATATCTGAGTCTGTCTCCAGCTATATATATATATATATATATATATATGTATGTATGTATATATATATATATATATATATGTATGTGTATATTTATATATGTATATATATGTATATATATATGTATATATATATGTATATATATATATATGTATATATATGTATATATGTTTATATATATGTATATATATATATATATATATATATATATGTATATATATATATATATATATATATATGTATGTATATATATATATATATATATATATATATATATATATATATGTATATATATATATATATATGTATATATATATATGTACGTATGTAAGCAAATATATGGATATAGATCGGACAGTATGAAGAAAAATATACAGAAAAAACAAACAAAAATCTTAATATGCAATTATGCTGTATTAATGTTAATATAAAGTCAACGTCGGACGTTTCGGTCTATTTAAGACCATCTTCAGGACCTTTTCATTTAAACATAATTAACATTAGAACATATAAAAATTCAACACGAAAAGACGATGGACATAAGAGCACAACTAATCCAAACAGATAACTGAAATTTTTATATAAGATCAGCGTTCCGTTTAAATATGATCACGTCGTCGTCACGTGGGCGATGTCGTGAAAGCGTATTCGAAGATGATTTCCAAATATTAAAATATTAAAAATATTAAAAATATTAAAAAGCTTGTATGAAGATATAAGAACCTATTGATCTCTACGTATTCCTATATCAACGGAAGGGATTTCTTGAACTGTTTATATAAAATAGTTCAATCTACTTTTTTAATATTTTAATATATATTATATATATATATATATATATATATATATATATATATATATGTTGCCGACCCCTGCTCTATACCATAGAGTACTACAGATAAATTTGTTTACTGATCTTTTAATATTTCCCTGCTTCATGATACACAAATCAAGCAATACAAATGTGTCCCTAAACTAACATTATTAACGTTATTAACATTAGAACCTTCGCTTTCTGACCATGAGATGCGGGTTCGAATCTCATCATGGTCGATTTGACAGGAAGGAGACTTCTTGATGCTATCGGTCTGGAGGAAGCGGTATGTTTGGAATTTGCCATACCATATCATACCTTGAAGGCCGTCGATAGCTAGCATGAAGTCACAAGTTATCGTGACCGAGAGTTTGAACGTGTTGGCTTTGATCAGATGGTTGATCACGCTAGATAACATGACCTTTCTTCGAAACTGTAACTAAGGTCTGCTCAGAATCGCTGCAATATAAACCACAAGGTAGGCTCTGTGGGTGTTGAACAAACACAAATGTGCCTGAGCAAGCGTCTGCTATAGGGATTGGATAGCTGCCCTAGTAGATGGGTATCCTCGAATACGAGTGGCCAGCTATAGAAGAGGGTTGCAGTACACCATTTTAGGCCTAATCTAGCTCTCGTAGAGGTAGAGAATATCCGGTGGAGCCCGATACTTTAAAGCAGGTAACAGGTAACCGGGTATTTTTCCAACATTTTTGGCGATGGATCGGATGTACAAGTTCCGCTTGAGATCTGAGTTGAGATAGCTAGATAGATAGATAGATAGATATGAAAAGTCAAGAGACACTCAAGGCAAGGAGCCTCTCTGAGGAACATCCGTTCATCGTGATTGGTGACAGTTCTAGATCTGATCAGAGACAATAGAATATAGCTAGTTTAATTTGGTGCAAACCGGACCTATGAATAATAGCTTTTTAACTCTAGTGTTAACCGGAACTACGTGTACCTTTTTGACTGTAGTTTAAACTGAACCTTTCTCACCTTTTTTTTTAATCTCGTGTACACCATATTTATATCTTCTTTTTCATAATACTGTAAAAGAGATAGAAACAACCGCTTTAGCTTATTTTCTTTCACTATACGGTCAGTTTTAAACCCACTGGAGTGACAGGGTGTAATTGATTTCTATTTTTTCCTCAGATTAAGCCATTTGCAGCGGTGTGCAGTAATATGAATCTATTTTCGGGGTGTATGATGAAATTTGTTTGGCCTTGAAAAATATTTTGTCATCCGTGATCGCATCAGATTTTAATCACACCCAGACACTATTGTCTAGACTGTCGATTAGTTGTCCTACGCTCATTGGCTGCGATGGACGTTACTTCAAGAAAGCGTACGAAAATTGTAACGCTACGCGAACACACTGGCAAGTCTTTCCAGTGAGAAAATCAAAGTACTATAAACTGGCCCGGAAACTCTCCTGATTCAAATCCAGTCGAGAATCTGTGGTCAAGCTGCAAGGAACGACTTCGTGAAACATGTGCACTGGATCATGTTTCATTGGAAAAATACGAAAAAATGTAAATAATGACATAATTATTCGTTTTGTCTCAATTAATTTGCACAAGTGTGTATGTCTTCGATTCGAGTATAAAACGAAACGCTGTCTACATTTTTACTTTTATTTTAATCATTACACCACAAGTAAGTCAATAAAGTCACTAATACACAAGAGGGTTACTGAGTGGGAAAGAATATGAGACAACAATAAATGAACAGGAATTAAGTCAACAGAAGATAACAATTGACATTGTATTTAAATTTTTCATGAAGCGAAACAGATCATGGCATAGTCACGGGCCTCATGCTCTCAATTAAACTGAAAATCATAGAACTGTGAAACCGGTAAAGTTACTCTAAATAAATAATCTTAAAGACTCCAGTTGCATTTTCAACTTCTTTTTCCTATATATTTTTACGCGTGTGGGATATATATATTTAAAAAGTGTGTATGTATTTGCGTGTGTGTGTGCGTGCGCGTAAGGGTCGCTCTGAAAGTAATACCTCCTATTTTTATTCTGTTTTATATATGCCCAGCTATCAACTTTAACCCGCCCATTTTCATCTATCTTTCAACCCCATTTTGTTCCTTATTTATTTATATATCTATAGGAATGTTTTTATTTTATTTTCTATACCCTGTCAATACGTTGTGACTGTGTTCATAGTTGATATAATTGAGTGTTGGCTTTTTTATTATTAATGCTTCCATGATAATAATAATAATAATGATCGTCGTTTGAAAATAAAAAGTAAACAGTCGCATCACTATAAATACATATGTAAAAATAATCTACATAATCAGTTAGAAAACCTCCTTGATAATGGCTAAAGAATAGATTAATCGCTCGGATATATAGAACATTTGGACAGTTTTTACACACTTTATACCCAGAACACAAACTAAATAAAAAGCTTAATCACAGCTGCCCAACTACATATATAGTCATCCACAGACAGCCTCTTTCGCTGTATTACAGCTCATCAGTGTGGATAGACATCCGACTGCTTCAAGCCGAGATCGAAACCCAGACCGATTTGACATCAGTCAGAGACTGTTACTCCGAGCCGAGGCTATTGGCACACGGAAAAGAATTTTTAAGGCATTATATACGTTCTATATAAACGACATACCGACCACTATATATATATATATATATATATATATATATATATATATATATATATATATATATATATATATATATATATATAGTAATTCATTGAGTCTGAAAGAAACCTCAACAGAATGCAGAAAGCACTGGACGGCCGTTTCGTGTATTTAGGCAGCAAACCTTCTTTAATACATGTTTCGTTAAAATAGACTAACAAGGTACTGCGACTGAGCTTATTATTTATTTATTTTGTGTTCGTTCAAGTATTTATTTTTCTGGACGCAAATTGTGTAAAAACTGTCCAAAAGTTCTGCATATTCGAGCGCTTTCAGCTATTCTTTTATCCGTTATTAAGGAAGATTTTTATTTTTTTTATTTTTAAATAAATATATGGATTTTTTATGTATGTTTCTAAAGGTATAGGAATGTTTTATTTTCCAAACAACGTCACCACATTGTGACTGTATTCCTAGTTAATACTTTTGAGTGTTGCCTTTTTCTTTTTTATTATTAGGGTTCCATAATTTTTAATCTTTGTTTTTTTTTTTTTAAATGTCGATAAGGCTTGTATACTTGTATTTTCTACTAGCATGCTTCGGATGGAGTCTGGTAGGTTTTCGTGTGTGTTTAAATGAGTCCTAATAGAGCTATGGTCTGTAGGTGTAACGTAAGTCGACTAGATAGGCATTTAGTAATGTGACCAATGTAATCATTTATGAGATTGTTTTGATCAAGAACACAGTTTTTTTAATGGGTATTTCAACTCGGAAATAATGTTGGTTGGTTGTAGTTTAGATTTTGCAGATGTGTTGGTATTTTTTATGATAAGGTTAGCTGTTCGGTTGACTGGGGTTGTGTATTTCTTTAGAATTCCTCTTAGAAATATATATATATATATATATATATATATATATATATATATAATCTTTATTGTCTGCGCAAAGCGGGTGGGTATCCATCGAGTGCCATTACCTATTACTAATCGGGACTTGATGGCCCTCATTAAATGTCTGGTATTTAGTCCTACACGCTTATGATCATTGATAAAAATGTCAGAAATGTGTCGTTCAGAAAGTTACCGTCTTTTTTTTTTTTTTTTTTTTTGAAGTTATCATTTTTCAGGTTACGATTGTGACTGCTGTCGCTTATCATTTGGGACATGCGTTGAACATGAAAGTGTAGACCTGATGCGATGGTGTCTTGCTTATTCGGTTGGCTGGGAGTCGATTGGCCGATAAGAAAGAAGCAAAAAGTAAGAACAGACTGAAATAGAAATTAATACAGTTTTAGATAGATAGATAGATAAATAGATAGATAGATAGATAGATAGATAGATAGATAGATATGAAAAGACTGAGATAGAAAATAATACAGTATTAGATAAACAAGAGCAGACTGGGTTAGATAGATAGATAGATAGATAGATAGATAGATAGATAGATAGATAGATATGAAAAGACTGAGACAGAAATTAATACATTGTTAGATAGATAGATAGATAGATAGATAGAAAGAAAGAAAGAAAGAAAGAAAGAGACTAAGATAGATAAAAACAGAGTGACATGAATAGATAGATAAGAGCAGACTCCTCTTTCTTTTTTACTACTCTGTATATATCTTTGTGTGTGTTCATGTGTGTCCAAGCTATGTAATCTGCTAATCATTTTATCTAGCCAAGCTTTTAATCGTTTAGGCAAACTTTCTAATCCAATACCAAGCTTTCTACTCATTTTGCATAAGTACCTCCACGAGACCGCTAAAAAATAGCATAGCATGAAGAAAAAGACGCCAAATTTGACGAAAACAAAATTTTATCGTCTAAATGTTTATGTTATTATTATGAGGAATGATCAAAGTATTTTGGGTGTATTTTTTTACATTTTTTAATGGTTCCTAGCACGTCCGAAATTTTCGTTAAAAATCTTTTTTTTTTTAATCAGCAAAACTGACCATTTTTTTTCCATTTTATAAAAAAACTGAAAATCTCCCTTTGAAATTCTTTTAAGTATCAATTATCATGGAAACCATGGAAGGTGTTATATGCATATTACCCAAGAGACTTAGTTCTGAGTGGGAAGTTAGGCAAGAATATTCCAGATGGATCAAGAGTAGAGTTTAAGGAGAAATTGCAGGTAAAGATTCAGCTTTATCAGCAGAGGATGTTAACACCTCAAATCTACTGAAGAGATGAGGAATGGAAATCTTAGTCTTATTTAATACACAATTACAGCGCCACCAGTAATTGCTGAGAGTCAAAGTTGTTAGACGCTATGCGGTGCATCATTCTCTCGGAAAATATTCTCCTTCGAGGATTCGCTTACATTTATTACCAACAGTAACAAAGAGGGGCCTACTGTGACGAGAGATATTACGCTGGTATAGTCGAAAATAGTGGTTCCTGTGTGCCGGACATATGCTCGTGTGAACCATGGAGAGGATTGAGTTATTTCCGAGAAGGGATAAAAGCGTCCATGCCATTAAAGCGCCCAGAAAGAAACCTCAGTGGCTGAATTTTAATTATAAGGTTACAGGTGTCAGGAAAAGGGACGTCACAAAGAAAATCACGGAGTGAGTCCCAATCATCATTTTAATATATATATATATATATATATATATATATATATATATATATATATATATATGTATGTATGTAGACATTGCGGTCAATCCCCAGCGGCGGCAATCTGTTTCATCATTAAACGCAATGCTTAGGCCATGAATATGAACAATCTTTACACTACGTCCAGAAAAGTAAATATTTATAAGAATGCAAGAAAAAATTAATAGAAATCTATCTACCTCTCTATATATATATAATGATGTTAACCACTGAATTAAATGAATTTGACAAGGATATATATATTAAGAAATGGACAAGGTCCGACAATTTATTTATTAAAGACATTTTTTATGTTTAACGTTGTTATTTATAGATACAAGTATTTAAGCAAATGCTCTGTTTATGATAAACTGTATTAAATAACATTTACCGGCCTGAATGTCCGAGAAATTTTCATAGAAAATATTCGTTCTTTGACAGGATTCGAACCCGCATCCTATACGGAACCGTCATTTACGCTGACGTGCCTTACCTCTGAGCCACAAATAACAACGTTAAACATAAAAAATGTCTTTAATATATATATATATATATATATACTCGACTCTCCCGTCGAACGACGTATGAGTGTCAAGCAGATCAGTTCCCAGGAAACCGACAGTGGTGACGGTTTCGTGCAGGACCATCCACACTTTTTGAAGCGCCGATTACAGGGACCTGGTGCACTACGTGCCACAAGGTCCCCAAACGACCCTCCGCCGGTTTTGAAATCAGAGTTTTCCTTCTCCTAGACCAGTTGCCATCCAAGGCTATAGAACCCATTTACCCATAGCTGGAGGGAGAAGAAGAGGATTCACACCTTTCCCAAGGTTATTAGCACGTAAGTGAATGTAATGGATTCGACTGGAATTCGAACTCGGCTCTCCGATTCCTCAATCCAAGCTGCTATCCATTACTCCACGGCGCCTCTCTATATATATGCATATTATGAAATGGACAAAGTCCAACAATTATTTAAGACATTTTTTAAAAAGAACCTATAAACATAAATATAAATCATGTCTTACTCCATGCGATTTTTATTTGTGGAGGAATATAAAAAGAGAGTTTGTTCCACACACACACACACACACACACACACACACACACACACATACATATATATATATATATATATATATATATATATATATATATATATATATATATCGCATATATTTGCATCCGAGGATATAGGCGACTACCTTATCCAAATTAGAGACGCCTGCTCACTCATATTTTGTGCTTGTTTAATACCTACAGAAACACCTGTGGTTTATTCTGCAACTATGATGAGCGGACCTTACTTGGGAGAGAATACACACACACACACACACACACACGCACACACACACACACACGCACACACACTCACGCACACACACACACACACACATATATACTGAATTCTTTGTGTCATTAGCGGTTGCTAGCACAAAGTCCCAAGTCATCGTGACCGAGGGTTTGAGTGTTCTGACCTTGTTCAGACTGTTGATTACGCTCGATAACGCGCTCTCTCCCAGAAAATGTAACTAAGGTCCACTCAGCATAGTTTCAGTATAAGCCACAGTTGGGCACTGTGGGTGTTGAACAAACATAAATGTGCCTGAGTATGCGTCTGCAATGGGGATTATGGGGGCTTCTCTAGTAGTAGACTGGCATCCTTGAATACGAGTGGCTGTGCCATTTATATATATATATATATATATATATATATATATATATATTCTCTTGTCAAATTCATTTAATTCTGTGGTCAGCACTAATCGAAAATTATGCAACGTAAATTTCAGACACGCATACACGAACATATATATGTGTGTGTGTGCGCGCGCAGTGTGAGCTTTTGTGTGTGTACATGAAATTTTCTTTTAATATTAATTTTCGTTTAATTTTTCGCACTGAATTAAATGAATTTGGTAAGGGAAGAGATTTTTATGAAAATATTTGCGGTTTAAAATTAACTATTTTTTTTTTTATCAGTAGTTAACATTTTATTTTTTTTAAGTTTTTCTAATATTCTTATATTTTTACGTTTGATGGGGATAAGGGATTGTAAAAATTGTCCATAGTTTCTACTGTCTTAAGCGTTTTCGGAGACTGCTTTAACTATTTTCAGTTTTTTTTTTAAATATAGTTGCGTGATGTCGAAACAATATAAGCTTTATTCCAAGCCCCACGAAGAAAAACGTGGCTGTAATTTAACTGCCAGATGTTTTTGCAGGGTAATTCTCTCACTATATATATATATATATATAGTAATTCATTGAGTCTGAAAGAAACCTCAACAGAATGCAGAAAACACTGGACGGCCATTTCGTCCTATATTTGGGACTCATCAGCAGTGCGCATCCACTACCGAGAATTGAAACCCTGACAGTTAGGTTGCCAAGCAAACATCATACCAACTGTTCCAAGAGATTGAAAATCAGACTCAATATAGCGCCACGGAATATGTGAGCGAGCGGACGAGGTTTCTTTCAGACTCAATGAATTACTTAATATAATTATCAAATCCTCATAATAATTTCTATCTTATATATATATATATATATATATATATATATATATATATATATATATATATATATATATATATATATATATATATATATATATATATATTTGAAAGCGCTCAATATCAGTGATAGAGCTAATATATTCAGTTGTATGGGTGTGAGTTTGTGACCCTTGTTGAAAGAACATTGCTACATACAGCCTCGACACCGATATGGAATTTCAATTGTGTATGTATGTATGCTTGAAAGCATGAGTGTGTAACTGCGCCTAATCTCGGATTGTTTATGTGGGTGTATTTGTGCGTACACATCTATGTATGTGAGTATGAGAGTATGACCCGAGTATCAGAGAATTTCCCCCTTCCACCACCAAACATAATCAAACTCAAACACGCACAAATAGATAATATTTTAAAAAAAAAAACAGTTTGACTGATGATCGCAAAAGCGTGAAACCCAGGAACATAAACTCATATCTGTATACACTATATAAATTCATTATATAGCAAAAGTATAATTGCCAAAAGGAATGTCTAATGACAATTTTGAGATTACTCCCGATATATATATATATATTTTTAAGACATTTTTATGTTTATACATTCTTTTTATAGATACAAATATTTAAGTAAATGCACTGTTTAAAATAAACAGTATTAAACAACATTTACCGGCCTGAATATCCGAGAAATTTTCACAGAAAATATTCATCCTCCGACAGGTTTCGAACCTATATCCTAAACAGAACCGTCATTTATCTAGACGTGCCTTTACCGATTTGGGCACAGAGGAGAGAAGGGTTAATAATGTCGAATTTACTGTATTTGAACTTCAATCTTCCATGAATCTCTCACGTACATTCATATCTGCTCATAGCGTATCAAATGTAAACAAATGACGTCATATATATATATATATATATATATATATATATATATATATATATAGTTAAATTCCCCAAATCAATTCTGTGGACAAGACAGATTGGTATAAAATGACAATTGGAAAAAATCTTCCGACTTTTTCAAGCAAAAATGAAATCGAAATGTCTTTGTTGTTATAGTTACATTAAAAAATCTAAATTTAAAAAGATAGACGCTTTTTTTTTTCTGGTTAATGTAAAGTACCTTTATAGTTAGGGATTTTTTCTTCCATGTCAACCCAGATCAATTCTGTGGACAAGACAGATTGGTATAAAATGACAATTGGAATATAAAATTTTTGCAATTGTCATTTTATACTATATATATATATATATATATATATATATATATATATATATATACAAAACAAACACAAAACACACACACACACACATATATATATATATATATATATATATATATATATATATATATATATATATATATATATATATATATATATATATATATATATATATATATATATATATATATATATATATATATATATATATATATATATATATATATATATACAGTACTTTTTGTATTGATATGAGTTTGTAACTCTGGGTTTTACGCTTTTGCTGCCATCAGACAAATAATATGTATATACGTATGTGTGTGTGTGTGTGTCTACGTCTTGTGTATGCGTGTGTGTGTGGACAGAGAAAAGGAGTGTAAATGAAAATGGGAAGGTGATAAATATTTAATAATAGCAAAGATTAATTTTGAGGTTGAGATTGAAACGGAAAGAAAGGAAAGAAAGTAAAATGTTTTGTGAATGAAAATAAAGAAACGTGAAGAAGAGTGACAATAATTTAAATATGTGGGAAATGTTTTTAACACAGGACAGTAAGTTCGACAATGAAACCCGAAGGCACATTGGGAGAGCGAATGATGCCTTCCAAAAGCTAAGCAAAGGATTAAGAAACAGAAAAAGGTATCGTTTGAAGCAACGAAAAGATTACTGTCATGCATTTATCAGTCCTCCGTTATAGCAGTGAATGCTGGAAAATCTACTTACAGATGAAAAAGGACTTGAAGTGAAAGAAATATGGTTCTACAGAAAAATGCTGAGAATACTATGGGCCGTACATGTGACCAACGAAAAAGAAGATGGAAACAGAAAGGACACTTATGCTTAACGTCAGAAAGAGACAGTTGAAATCTCCAGGAAAGTATGCTAAGAATCTTTGATACTAACAGGATAGATTGAAATCAAGAGAGACAGAGGAAAATAATCCATAACCTACCTAGAGAACTTGAATAAATGGATGGAGGAACAAGGTCTATATAAATATAAACAAAGAAAACAAAACTTATTAACAGTTACAAAGGACAAGTAATTGTGGAGAGCCATGATCGCCAACGTCCTGAAGGGTCATGGTAGATAAAAGAAGAAGAAGAAGAAGAAGAAGAATGGAAAGAGAAAAAGGAGTGATTATTATCGGCAGTGAAAGAGATGATGGAAAAGATACATGAACGAAAGACTGAAAGTGAATAAAACAAGAAGAACAAGGAACCGAGAAGAAAAACAAAGTACAAGCGTCCGTGTGTGAAAGAATAAAAACGGAAAGAAAGAAAGAAAGAAAGAAAGAAAGAAAACCATCGGCGAATAAAAGAATGAAAAGAGAAAGAAAGAAATGAGAAAAACAAATCAAAGGAAAAAGATAAAACATCAAAAGAAAAAGAAAAATATCGACGAATAAATGACTGAAAAAAGAAAGAAAGAAAAAAAGAAGGAAATAAAATAAAGACAACCTCAAAAGAAAGCAAGAAAGACAGAAAGAAGACTATCGGCGAATAAAAGAATGAAATCAGAAAGAAAGAAAAAGAAAAAAAAACAAATTAAAAAAAAAACATCAAAAGGAAAAAGGAAAACATCGACGAATAAATGACTGATAAAAGAAAGAAAGAAAGAAAATATCAAAAGAAAGCAAGAAAGACAGAAATAAAACTATCGGTGAATAAAAGAATGAAATCAGAACGAAAGAAAAAAAAGAAAGAAAGTAATCAAAAAAATGATAAAAGGAAAAAACATCAACAGAAACAAAGAAAGAAAAAAACATTGACAAATAAAAAACTGAAAAAGAAAAGAAAGACTAAAAGAAATGAAAGAAAAAGATAAAGAAAAAACATCAAAAGAAAGAAAGAAACCAGAGCAAAGAGGAAAGAAAAACATCGGCGATTAAAGAATGAAAACGAAAAGAAAGAAAAAGAAAAAGAAGAAAAAGAGAAACCCAGACGAAAGGAAAATGAAAGTTGAAAAGAAGCCAAAATAAAGATAGAAAACTAAAGAAGTCGAACAAAGACAAAATAAAGAAGAAGCAACTAAGATAGAGAATTTAATAACGATGACTTCACAAATCTAAAAACGGAGACATTGCAGCGGGAAAAAGCCGCAACTCCCACACGATCGCAAACAAAATGGCGTCTTTTCATTGAAACTTTACGCTAAATAAAGACTAAATGAATAAAGAAAACTGTCAGGATTGATCATTTTTCAAAAACATTTTACTTGCAAAAAATACTTGCCGACGAACCGAAACAGTTTTTATTGTCAATAAATAAATAAGACCTCCAGACACAAAGATAAGAAAGAAATTCGTAATGGGGAAAGAGAGTGTGACGAAGGACACGTCTTGTTACTGATGACTATTTTAATGTCAGACTATTTCGCAAAGGATCATTTTAAATTACAAAAGAAATGAGTCTTTTATGAGAAAAGAAAATTTAGATAAGAAATAGTCGTGTAATTTAACACCGGAAAAAATTTATAAAATAGAAACACCCATTTAAATAGCAAATTACTAAACAGAAAGGTTTCAACAAAATGAAAATAATGTCATTAATATTTGAATGTCATATTGCGTAAAACGCATTTTAAAATTTTGTTGACAAGAATCTCTCTTTTCATGGGACTTTTTCAACCTTTACTCTGAAGCAATCCCGAAAGAATTAAAATCGAAGCAGGATTCATAACTGGCGCTGACAATCTCAACAACGTAGGATACGCAGATGACTTAGTGTTGATAGCAGACACAGACAAGAAAACCACAGGGACTCCGACAAAAGATAGTAAAAGAAAAAGCGAAAAGAAAAGACTATTTGCATTTTTCAGACTATTGTCCTTTTCTTTATTGTTATGTTCATGACGTTTCGGCAGTTGTACGCTCCGGCCTATTTCATGTAATATACGCTGTTTTGTGCTATCGGTAAATTTACCAAAATTCATATTAACTTTTATTTTACCGACAGAACAATCTTTTAAAATGAATGTAGCAACATCCGAAAGTACTCGAGCAAAAATAATATATAAAACAAACAATAAAACAATAAAACAATAAAAATTATTCAGAAATTTGAAAGATTTAATTAAAAAAAATAATAAACAGAATTTGTTCACATTATTTCACAAATATGTTTGAGAGAATTCTTGCTGTCGAAATACACCTTTATTTATATATATATATATATATATATATATATATATATATATATATATATATAAGAAATGGACAAAATCCGACAATTTATTTATTAAAGACATAAAAAAAACATAAAAAACATAACAACCGTTAAATATAATATATATATATATATATATATATATATATATATATAAAAAAAATACAGAAAAAAACAAACAAAAATCTTAATATTTTTTCTGTATTTTTCTTCATACTGTCGGATCTATATCCATATATTTGCTTACATATGAGAATGTATATATATTTATCGGAGAGCCGAGTTTGAATTCCAGTCGAATCCATTAGATTCACTTACATGCTAATACCCTTGGGAAAGGTATTAATCCTCTTCTTCCCCCCCTCCACCTATGGTAAACAGCAAGAGAGACTGGGGCCATGGATGGCAACTAGTCTAGGAGAAGGAAAACCTGCAGTGGGTTTTTGAGGGACCTTGTGGCACGTAGTGCACCAAGTCTCTGTATTCGGCCCTTCAAAAATTGTGGTTGGTGCTGCACAAAGCTTTTACCACTATAATCAAATCACATGTGCTGGTGTCAGGCAGTCGGTTCCTAGAAAATGAACTGCTTGACCCCCATATGTTGAATATGACGGGAGAGTCCACCAAATGTATAGTAAAATATTGCCATTTTATATTTTTATTTCACGCATTCGCGTTCTTTGTTTTTGATTTTGTCAACTACACAGTATAGTAGGGTCATTTGGGAACCGTCTGCGAGAAAAATAGCACCATGACGCAATTCACTCCACCAGAAATTTGGAAACAGCATGCTGTCTTGTTTGGCATTCGCGCCGGAAGCTCTAATACGAAAATTTTAAAGTGTTTGGGTGTCAATCTGAGGACAATGCAGAGGACTCGGAAAGATTTGGATGATATATCCAGTCAACATCATGGTGTTTGGCGACATTATGCCTCCATTCATCTCCCTACAGGGCCTCAGACTCAATACGGAGGCCTATACCATGTGCCTTGAGTAGATAGTGCTGCCCTGAGCCAATAGGGTGGCTACTGGAAGAACCTATGTCTGGCAACAGGACTCTGCCCCATACCACACAAGCAGGAGAACCCACTCATAGCTGCCAGACAATTCCTGCAACCACATCACCTCTTGCATCTGGCCAACTAACTCCCCAGGCTCCCTTGATTATTATATGTGGGGTGCAGTTGAGCGGGAGACCAACAAAACTCCTTGTAACACCAAAGATGAACTTCAGGCAAGGATTATGGCAGCATTCTCCAACTTAAATAAGGAAACCGTCCAGAAGTTGCCGGATATTCAGAAGTCGTCTTGAGGCCGTTGTTGAAGCCAATGGTAATTTTACTGAATAAATTTACTCGTTAGTATTTCAAGATATTCTTATGTAATTTTGGTAAATATATCTGTTAAAATGAGATGTCAGTGTTATTTTCATTTTTGTGTAATTTAGACGACAATTTATCAATCTCACCCTATATATATATATATATATATATATATATATATGTGTGTGTGTGTGTGTGTGTGTGTGTGTGTGTGTGTGTGTATTATAATTCAAATTATTAACGAGGTCACATTTGTTTCATTTTGTACAAAAACTACCAGTCAGAATTTAACGAAATTTTCACAGTATAATGGAAATAGGTATTTGCGCAGGCTGTATAAAACCTGTATTGTTCTGCGCAACAGGAAACAAACGGTGGCCATTTGTAATATTAACACGATATAAAAATGTTCCAGACTATAATCTAGTTTAATTATAATCGTGCAATTATAGATCGCAAATGTGACTTGACCCCTTCTTAGTAATGTATTATAACATCTGAACTTTCTAAGGCAAATCTACATTAGAAATATCCAAAATAATTGGAAGATATCACCAAACCGTGAAAAGATTTGTTACAGTTCCGACGAAGGAACGTAAGAGAGCCGATAACGGTCACTTGAGGGTTGTTTCCCGGCGTTCTTTGTCACGAATGAAACGTGAAGTTGTAAATAACCCAGCCCTGACCAGTGGAGCACGTTTCAGGAGCAGTGGATAAGCAACAGTGTCCAGAAGTACTCACTATCGTCTCCCGAAAAAGGTCGGGATATCAGTGAGACCAGTGACAAAGCCTTGATTGATAAAACTACACGTACAAATGAGTTTGAAATGGGCAAAGGAAAACATAAAGATCGATTTCAAGAAAGTTCTTTTCACAGATGAAAGTCATGCAACACTTCATGGCCCTGATGTTTGGAGCAAAGGTTGGGTCGTAAATGGACGAGATCGTCATCAACGCTTGACACGCTAACAAGTAGAAGGAGGTATTATGATTTGGAATGGTATTATTTGAGGTATCATAGTTGGTCCGTGGACGGTACGAAAATAACCGCAGATGCTTATATAGGTTTTCTCAAAGAGCACCTAGAATATTGGTTAAAAAGCAAAGAATTACACCCCCGCTAATAATTTGGTACACTAATAATTTAATTAAATAAGATAAATGAACGTAACTTCTGTTCCTTTTTCTATAACCATACAGTTCTTACAGAGTAGATGTATAGACATGCTGTCGTAATTCTCTGATAGTTTCGTTAATTTTTTGATAACTTGTAAAAGGGTCACCTTCCTAATAATTTGAAACGCAGTACACACACACATATATATATATATATATATATATATATATATATATATATATATATATATATATATATATATATATATATATATATATATATATATATATATATATATATATATATATATATATATATATATATATATATATATATATATATATATATAGTTATTTTTCATTGTTGCCTAATAAACTCGGAAGACGAAACGTATATATATATATATATATATATATATATATATATATGTGTGTGTGTGTGTGTGTGTGGATGAAGATGATATATAACTTTTTATATATCAGAACAATTTTAGGGAATTAATGACCAATTTTATTATATTTTTTATTGAATTATTTAACAAATCATATATCTATATCTATCTATCTATCTAAATATATATATATATATATATATATATATATATATATATATATATATATATATATATATATATATAATTGTAAAACTTGAGATCAAATACAAATCAAATATGGACCAGCATGCAACAGAATCATAGGACAAATAGGAAACGTTTATAAATTTAAAATGATTCGCTTTTATTAAAGCTTCATCAGAGAATTAAACATGGAAAAACGTTCACACCGTTCATGTCAATTAATTATGTTAGATTCTTTAAGAATGTGTTCAATATATTTTAATGATCTAATATAGTGTTTTGTCCGATGTTTTCGATTCCCTTACACAAAAGTTATACACACGGACGTTAGTTGACTAAGCAAACGTACGTGAAAATCTGCCTAACTAAAACTAAATCAACGCATAAAATAAAAATAGCGGACATTTTTTTCATATCTCATTCTCTGATGCAGCTTTAATAAAAGTGAAACATTTTAGATTGGTTCTTTATCGATTCATTTATATATATATATATATATATATATATATATATATATATATATATATATATATATATATTACTATATGAAATAGTTCAATTACCATTTGTGTCTGATGAATTGGGCAAACATGAAAGGTAAGTATATGTGTTTTATTAATATATACTTGATCGCTCTGTTTAACTCCATTGAGCACTGCTTTGTTTACACTTTAAATTAAATATTTATTTGCTCATCAGTATATGTATTTTATCACACGCATATATAATTGCTAATATCTCGTTATTTAGTCTATACCCAGACTTATATCTAATTATCTTTCTATATCTATCTATCTATCTATCTATCTATATATATATATATATATATATATATATATATATATATATATATATATATATATACGCGTAATTGTCTGTGCAGTATTTCAGATAGAACATATCTGTAAAAGGACAATATGAATAAAGACAAAAGGAAAATCTATTTTAGCCGACGCGTTTCGTCCTCTGACGGACTTTACCAAGACAAATTCTCAAAACATATAAAATCCATCAACGGACGAAACACGTCGTACAAATACCTTCTACACTATGTTATAGTTTTTCCCTAATATAGATATATAGATACATAGATAGATAGATAGATAGATAGATAGATAGATAGATAAATATATAGATAGATAGATAGATAGATAGATAGGTAAAATCTATGGATAAGTAATACAAATATATCTTAATAATGTAAAATATTAAAACTGATCCACGAATAGAGCTCACTGTCTTTATTACAAGGCATATATATATAATTTATAACAGATGGGGTATTTTTGAATTTTATATATATATATATATATATATATATATATATATATATATATATATATATGAAAGAAAAATACAGAAAAAAACAAACAAAAATCTGAATATGCAATTATGTAGTATTAATGTTAAAATAAAGTCGACGTCGGACGTTTCGGTCTATTTAAGACCATCATCATGGACATTTTCATTTAAACATAATTAACATTAGAGCTTATAAAATTTTTAACACAAAAGACGATGAACATAAGAGCCCAACTGATCCAAACAGATAACTGAAATTTTATACAGATCAGTGTTCCGTTTAAATATAAGTTCTAATGTTAATTATGTTTAAATGAAAATGTCCATGATGATGGTCTTACATAGACCGAAACGTCCGACGTCGACTTTATTTTAACATTAATACATCATAATTGCATATTCAGATTTTGTTTGTTTTTTCTGTATTTTTCTTTCATACTGTCGGATTTATATCCATATATTTGCTATATATATATATATATATATATATATATATATATATATATATATATATATATATATATAAAGTAGCCAACTACTCATGCTTTCTGAGTTCATCTCTCTGGTACGGGGGACTAATCAATCACCGTTACAGACATATAAATATATATGCAATCGATTTTTAGGGAAATAACCTTTTTTTTAGGCAGAGACCAACATTTTTAGCTTGGCATGTTTTTAACCGCTTAGCCAGGAAAGACCTCACATCAAAGCAATGTTCTATTACCTTTTTAGGAGAAATGCATATCTCTCGACATAATTTTAAACAATAGATTTTTAGTCCTACATTATTTTTCGATGAAAAGCCAAATGATTCCACTATAAGAAAAATATATATAGGAAATGATTTTCCTAGGAAAATACATTGGAAATGATGTTTCTAGGTAATTACATTGGAAACGATTTTAGTATGAAAATGCATTGCAGACGTTTTTTATTATAAAACTGCATTGCAAATGATTTTGCTATGAAAATGCATTGCAAACAATTTTAATATGAAAATGTATTGCAAATGTTTTACTGGGAAAATGTATTGGTCGTGATTTCACCATGAAACGGCATTGTAAATGATTAAAAATATATTGCAAAAGATGAAAATGTATAGCAAATGGTTTTCTATAATATGCATTGTAATTGATTTTAGTATAATATTCATTGCAAATAACTTTAATATAAAATACATTGCAAATGATTTTACTATGAAACTACAAATGATTTTACTATCAAAATACATTGTAATTGATATTGCTATGAAAATACATTTTAATATGAGAATGTATTGCAAATGATTTCACTGTAAAAATACATTGCAAATGATTTTACTATAAAATTAATTGAAAATGATTTTACACTAATAATGCACTGTAAGTGGTTTTAGTTTGAAATTATATTGCGAATGATTGTATGTATGGTTGCCAACCCTTATAAAACGTTGGATTATGTATCGGTTAACCAGTGAGGACGAAACTTACAAATAATAATCAGCCACACTAGCTTAGTTAACCACGAATTCACGCTGAACCACTTCATCTATATATCTAGTGGCAATTGCATTTTCCTGCCTATGCCTACTGACACGCTCCAGATGTGTATCACGGTTCCAACGAAATAGCAATAAATATATTTCTTACTGTAGGTTAAAAAAAACAAAAAAACATACAAATTTAGATAGATAGATAGTGTTGTGGTACGATCCACCTAATTTACATAGTGGAGTACCGACCATATAAATATGGGTTGGTACCGGGAAGACGAGGGAAGTAACAAGAGATCCAGAGACTCTGCCCGACTGCGATTAAGTCAACCCATTCTACAGGAACAGTCTTCCCAAGAATATACCACAACTAACTGTAAATATTGTGTACCTTTTCCTTGTTTCAATACATTTTGTTTACGTACATTTTGTGTTGTATTATTATTATTCCATGCTTATCCAAGCTTCAACAGATAGATAGATAGATAGATAGATAGATAGATAGATAGATAGATAGATAGATAATGAAGAGACTGCGATAGATAGATAGATAGATAGATAGATAATGAAGAGACTGATAGATAGATAGATAGATAGATAGATAGATAGATAGATAGATAGATAGGCACTGTATGCACGAAACAAGTTACATAAATGTGCTCCTATTCATTTATAGAGGTGCTTCTGGGTCATTACAACATCAGATAGCGGACCATGGCCTGTCGGTGCTGTCAGAGAGTTCAGTCGCATTAAACGTAAATATTCACACTTTCTTTGCGTCCTCCTTTTTTTTCTTTTTTTTTCTTTTAAAGGAAAGGATTTTGCATAAGGAAAAGCCAAGCCGTTTATCACCGGAGCCTAAGTTACCTTGGCCCTTGGCTAGGATTAACATTATGCCAAAGGGTTTGATAAATAGAGAGAACTGTGGATTGAGGGGTTGACAAAAAATGTGTGGGTATGTTGCTTTGGAATCACTATAGGCCTTTCACCAATTTGGGTAATACTGCAATATTTTATAATCAAGAAGGGTCATTTAAATAGTAGAAAAAAGAAACTGAAGAATTCGAAATAGATTTACACGAGAGTTAGTACTGGATGAACGAGCTATTTTCCGACGCTTTTATTCTCAAAATAGAGGACAGGGTATGTGCCTAATAAAGTGGACATTTCTTTTAGCATAGCTAGCTAGCAAGATAGATAGATAGATAGATAGATAGATAGATAGATAGATAGATAGATAGATAGATAGATAATGAATACAATTTGATAGATAGATAGATAGATAGATAGATAGATAGATAGATAGATAGATAGATAGATAGATAGATAATGAATATAATTTGATAGATAGATAGATAATGGATATAATTTGATAGATAGATAGATAGATAGATAGATAGATAGATAGATAGATAGATAGATAATGGATATAATTTGTTAGATAGATAGATAGATAGATAGATAGATAGATAGATAGATATTATGATCCGTCTCAACGTTACTTGACTTCGGTGATCGAACGAGAACCGGTGTTTCAACGTGATATGGGCGTAACATATGTACATAACGTTTGGATAGGTAGGTAGCTACCTAGTTAGCTTGCTAGATAGATAGATAGATAGATAGATAGATAGATAGATAGATAGATAGATAGAGAGATAGAAATCGGTTCCGTACCCCACGCGCACATCAAAGCTTCCAGCACTTGGCATTCTATAGTGTTCACCCATCTAGATATTGACCTGAATCGATGTTGCTTAACTTTGGTGATCGTACGAGAACAGGTGTTTTAACGTGATGTTGTCGTAAACCATACCTGCCGTACATCCAAGCTTACAGTACGTGGTATTCCAAAGCAGTCATCCATCTCGGTACTGACCAGGCCTGAAGTTGCTTAACTTCGTTGACCATACGGGAACTTGTGTTTCAACGTGACCCAGATAAGGAATAGACGGCTATAAATACAGAGAGCGCTAGGTAACTGAAAACAAGTTTTAAAAATAAAAAGCTATTCAAATGAATCAGTATACTTTTTAAAGTTGTACGCATTGTTGACATTCATACGAGACATTACGTCTACTACGGCGGCCTTCATCGCATCCTTGACATTGTTTGGCCGCTGGTTGTTCTTCCTATCGACGGCGTCCCAGAAGTAGAAATCTGGGGGATTCAAAGGAGAAGAGCTCGACCACATCGTTGACAGTAGAAAAATGGTGAAAATTCTTGGCTAGTCACTTCTGGGTTACGTGGACTATGTGGCACGGGGGAAAAGAGACCTGCTGGAAAAGGGACAGTTTTCCTTGGATCAATATCTCGATCTTGGGCTTGACCACCGTTTGTACAATTAAGCACAACGTCAATAGTTTAAACATGTGGTGAACATAATCTGCATATTGGATCTGCGAAATAATTATGAATGAGGCAAATCCCAGTATGTATTTTTTTTTAATTATTTTATCCCAGATATTTTTCAATCATTTTCATCCTAGACATTTTCACCCCAGACATCGTGATCAAAGACCACAAAAACCAAATGTGTTTTCATATTGGCATAACAGTTCCTGCAGAATGCAATACATCTTTGGATGTCTTCAAAAAAAAAACTATCAAAATACAAAGATCTTGAAGTGGAAATATAAAAAAAAATGTGGCACATGAGGACATCAATAATTCTAGTTGTAGTTGAAGTACACGCTTTCATTGTAAACCATGACTTTAAAAAAATGTTCTCACAAGTACAGCTCACACCTTACGAAGGGCTTTATCTATGTAAAATGTTGTGATATAAGGTTGTGGTTTTTATAAAAATGCTCTGTGGAAAATGTCATGAAACCATTTCTGACCTTAGGACTCTGTTTGGAACTCGGAAGGAAATGTGTATACAACAGAAATCAAAAGAAATAATAATAATAATAATAATAATAATACAGGTTGGGCCAATATCTGCACTGGAAAATCTGCAACTTTTACGGGAAGGAAACTGAAAGAAACTGGTATGAACACCACCCAGACCCGGTTACGGAGATAGGACCTGTTACAATTCTATGGGACTACACAATACACACTGACAGAACAATCAAGGCCAACCGGCCAGATATTGTTATTAAAGACCACAAACAAAAACGGTGCCTCCTTATTGATATGGCAGTCCCTGCTGACTGCAATGTATCTTTGAAGATATTCAAAAAGTTGTCAAAGTACAAGGACATTGAAATAGAAATCTCGAAAAAGGGGCATATGGGAACATCAACAATCCCTGTTGTAGTTGGAGCCCTAGGACTGGTTGGAAAAGATTGCAGTGACAAGTACAGCCCACACCTTACGAAGGGCTTTATCTATGTAATTTAATTCTTTTTTTTTTTTTTCTGTCAGTGGAAAGTGTCATGATGCCATTTCTAACCTTAGGTTCCTGGGCGGGACCCGGAAAGAAATGTGTAAACGCCAGAAATCAAAGAAAATAAATAATAATAATAATAATAATAATAACACCCCTAAATGAAGGAAAAAATAAGAAAAGAGTACCTCAGGCGTGTACGTCTGGTACTAAATACTAAGCTAAACTGAAAAAACAGAATATCAGCCATAAACACATTGGCTGTCCCTGTGATGCAATACAGTTTTAATGTCCTTAACTGGACCATAGCTGAAATTAAGCGAATGGACGCCAAAACGAGAAAGCTTCTCACTTGCTATCGCATGCATCATCCCAAAGCTGATGTTGATCGTCTGTATGTGCCCAGATCCGAAGGAGGCAGAGGATTAGTTCAACTAGAACTGTCCTACAAAACTACAACAATTGGCCTCCAAAGATATTTGGAAACTACAGAAGACTGGATGATGGTATGCGTCAAGGAACATGAAAGTAGTAAGCGTCTTTACTCCGTAATGAAAGAAGCTAACAAATTCAAAATGGAGTTTCAAATGGGCGTAGAGATGCAACTACAGCACAATACACCGGCTGAAACCGCAAAATACCTAAAAAAGACAGCAAAGACGAATGCAACCGACCAGATACAGAAGCGATGGCAAGATAAACCGCTTCATGGCCAATACTCTGCCCGTACCAAACAAGCTGACGTAGACAAAACCCGTACCCATCAGTGGCTACGTAGTGCAGGGTTGAAAGCGGAAACTGAAGGTCTTATCCTTGCTGTGCAGGACCAATGCTTGCTAACTAGGAATTATCAAGCACATATACTAAAATATTGTGTCAGCCCAAAATGCAGATTCTGTGATAAATATCCAGAAACGATTGATCATCTTGTATCAGGCTGCACGATGTTGGCACCCACTGAATATAAAACCCGACATGACAGAGTGGGCCAATATCTGCACTGGAAAATCTGCAACTTCTACGGGAAGGAAACTGAAAGAAACTGGTATGAATACCACCCAGACCCGGTTACGGAGATAGTACCTGTTACAATTCTATGGAACTACACAATACACACTGATAGAACAATCAAAGCCAACTGCCCAGATATTGTTATTAAAGACCACAAACAAACAAAAATGCCTCCTTGTTGATATGGCAGTCCCTGCTGACTGCAATGTATCTTTGAAGATATTCAAAAAGTTGTCAAAGTACAAGGACATTGAAATAGAAATCTCGAAAAAGGGGCATATGGGAACATCAACAATCCCTGTTGTAGTTGGAGCCCTAGGACTGGTTGGAAAAGATTGCAGTAGACTAATTGAAGGGATTCCTGGAAGTCCATGCCTCAAGGAGATACAAAAAATTGTCCTGACAAGTACAGCCCACTCTTTACGAAGGGCTTTATCTATGTAATTTTTTTTTTTTTTTTCTGTCAGTGGAAAGTGTCATGACGCCATTTCTAACCTTAGGTCCCTGGGCGGGACCCGGAAAGAAATGTGTAAACGCCAGAAATCAAAGAAAATAAAAATGATAATAATAATAAACCTGCTACAATTTTATAGGACTACACAATATACACAGACAGAACAATCAAAACTAATCACCCAGACATTATTATTAGAGTCAGCAAGCAAAAAAATTGCCTCCTTATTGATATGGTAGTCCCTGTAGACTGTAATATATCTTTGAAGAGCTTCAAGAAGCTATCAAAATAAAAGGACCTTGAAATCGAAATCTCAAAAATGTGGCACATGGAAACATCAACAATCCATATTGTAGTTGGGGGCCGTCGGACTGGTTGGAAAAGATTTCTGTAGACTCATTGAAGGGATTCCTGGAAGTCCATGCCTTAAAGAAATGCAAAAAATTGTTTTAACGAGTACAGCCGACACCTTACGAAGGGCTTTATCCATGTAATTTTTTTCTTTTTAATTGGTCAGTGGAAAATGTTGGCGTGCCGTTTTCTCACTCAATAATAATAATAATTTTTTTCCAAACAATGCTCAGTGGAAAATGCCATGATGCCATTTCTGACCTTATGTCTCTGGTTGGGACCCGGAAAGAAGTGTGTATACACCAGAAATCAAAGGAAATAATAATAATAATAATAATAATAATAATAATAAGAAGAAGAAGAAGAAGAAGAAGAAGAAGAATTTTTTTTTTTTTTTTGTCAGTGGAAAGTGTCATGACGCCATTTCTAACCTTAGGTCCCTGGGCGGGACCCGGAAAGAAATGTGTAAACGCCAGAAATCAAAGAAAATAAAAATAATAATAATGGATTGAAGGGATCCCTGGAAGCTTAAGCCTTAAATAAATACAAAAAAATGTACTCACAAGTACCGCCCACACATTGCAAAGGATTTTATCTATGTAAAATGCGTGTGATCTGAGGTTGTTTTTTTCTCAAAAAGTACTCAGTGGAAAATGTCATGATGTCATCTCTGACCTTAGGTCTCTGGTTGGGACCCGGAAAGAAATGAGCATAGACCAGGAATTAAAGAAAATATAATAATAATAATAATAATAATAATAATAATAATAATAATAGGAATACAATGTAAACGGTAAGCTAAATTAGAATGAGAGATACAGGGGGTGCAAAATAGGCATGCAGTTGTTAAAAAAAAACAAGTCGTGCGGATAAAACGTCTTGTATTGATTGTACAAACATATAAATAATAATCTATCAATAATAATCTATCAATGATAAACATATCAGTAATAAACATATGAATCCCTCAAATGTTCAAACTGTTTCCCCCGTCATTTCCACCCTCCTCTTTATCTAAAAAACATTTATTATTATTATTATTATTTATTAAAATAACAAAAATTATAATAAATCTATTATAAGAAAAATCATGAAATTTTAGTATTTTAGAAAATTATGAATTTTAATATCAAATTAATCTAAGAACAACTATTATAATGCTAGTAATATCGGTATTATATTTGCTGTATACATACTTTTGCAGCCCCCCCCCCACCGCCGTATAGGTATTTTAAAAAAATGCAGAATCAATTAAAAATGATTCTCAACAAACACAATAACTGTGATGATCAAAACCAACCCTTTTTATATCAGCTGAATAGACCTGATTAAAAACCGCCCTTTTGCTTGTCACAGCTGTGTAAACAACATTTCACAACACCCCTTCTTCTTCTTCTTCTTCTTCATTGTCGTTGTCGTTTGCATCAAGTCCTTCACAAACTACGCTTTCAATTCTTTCTTTCTCATCTCTTTTTCCTTTTTTCTTTCTAATCTTCACTAACTTCATCATCAAAATCATTTCTTCTTTATGATCTTTTTATTAGTCATTTCTTTTTTTTTCTTCTTCTTTTTTCTTCCGTCTTAGTTTTGTTATTTATCAAATCATAAATGCAATGAATAACAAGTGAAGAAATAGAGGAAAGATATGTACATTTTTTCGATGTTCCAAAAAAACTGTTGTTTCGAAATACATTTTAGCCGAAAAGAAAGTACGGAAATTATGAAACTATTAGTTGAAGAAAGAGAGAAAGAAATAAAGAAAGAAAGAGAGAAAGAAATAAA